TCATAGGTGCTCAATAAGAAGTATTTTCGAAGTGAAATGGAGAAGACAAACCATCACCCATGCTCACTGGGGCAACTCATCTGTCCCATTGCTGGATTTCTTTTACAGTTGCTGTTGTACATTTACTCTTCAAAACTGGCTGAATCATTTCCACAAAATTTGAGAACAGGACATTCTGATTAATGCAATTATGCTCTAAATTAAACCATTAGATCAGCATTTATTTAGCTGTGTGGAAGTCTCAAAAGACCGTGACTCCAGAATGCATCTTTATTAGCAGAGTTTATATCTCTGCCAAAAATATGAATAAGGTGATGTGAGTCAGACCTGTTGTTCAGAAAGAATGGATTATCAGTTCACGATTAAGACAAATATATTTCAAGATATGTTATATGGCTCTGCCATTTCTATAAATCAAGAAATCCCATTAACAGTTTCATTTATTTTTTTAGAGAGAGGGAGAGAGAATTTAAAAAATGGTTTTGAAAAGATTTATTTATTTTCATTGGAAAGGCAAATTTACAGAGAGAAGGAGAGAAAGAAAGATTTTCCATCTAGAACTGAGTCTAACTGAAACCAGGAGCCAGGAACCAGGAGCTTCATCTGTATCTTCCACATGGGTACAGGGTCCCAAGGCTTTGGGCCATCCTCTGCTGCTTACTCAGGCCACAAGCTGGGAGCTGGATGGCAAGTGGGGCAGCTGGGATATGAACTGGCATCCATATGGGGTGCTGATGCTTGCAGGCTGATTAGCTAGTTGAGTCATTGTACTGGACCCAACAGATTTATGTTTCTTAAAATTTTTATTTATTTGAGAGGGGGAAGTGAGAGATTAGAGAGACAGAGAAATAGCTAAATAGAGAGAGAATGTCTCTGTTTACTCCCCAGATGCCCAGAGCAGCTAGGAATGGACCAGGCTGAAGCTGGGAAGAGGAAATTTAATTCAAGTCTCCCCTGCGGGTGACAAGAACTCAATGGAGTCACCCCTGTAGCCTTCCAGGTTTTCAACAGGAGAAAGCTGGAGTTAGGAGCCGGAGTTTAGTATGGAAACCAGCTACTCTACTATATACATACTCTCTACAGGACACAGAAACTTTAATCTGTGTCTTAACTACTATGCTAAACGGCTGCTTGCTTTCTCTATGTTTCAACTTCATAAACTGACACAGTTTAAGGTAGCGCATCACAGAGTTTAATTTTGTAAACAAGTGGCAAGGGCTAAGATGAGCAGAGTTGCTGGAATTTTACTAGATGACTATTGTTTAATAGTATACTTCAGTTATAGTAAGTTTATGTAAGGTTTGAATAATCTTCCTCATATGTTCATTTAGCATTTTCCTTGGCATAGCTTGTGCTTGTTTACTGGTTTTAATAAATGTGCATGTGCTGAACTTCCTTGCATCCTTGAGATGATTCCACTGGATCATGATAAATAATCCTTTTAATGTGCCATTGGACTCATATTGCTAGTCCTTTGTTGAATATTTCTGAATTTATGCTTTTCCAAGACATTGGTCAATAGCTTTATTTTTTGGTGTGCCTATGGTTTTGGTCGAGAATTTAATCCAGTTAAAGCAAATGATTGGCAGGTATGGTTTTAGTACTGTGATTTGATTTTTTGGTTCTAGTCACATGGTAGTCCCTTTCTCCCTTAAGATATTTCTTTGTAGTTAAGTGATTTTTCTACAGTAGTGTTTTATTTATTTATTTATTATTTAAATATTTATTTATTTGTATTGGAAATGTAGATTTACAGAGAGAAAGAGAGACTGAGAGAAAGATCTTCTACCTACTGGTTTACTCCTCAAGTGACCATCATTGCTGGAGCTTAGCCAATGTGAAGTTGGGAGCTAGGGACCAGGAGTTTCTTCTGGGTTCTTCCCAAGGGCGTGGGGTCCCAAGGCATTGGACCATCCTCTTCTGCTTTTCCAGGGCTCAAGCAGAGAGATAGTTGGAAAGTGGAGCAGCCAGGACACGAACCAGTGTCTGTATGAGATCCTGGGCGTGCAAAGTGAAGATTTAGCCAACTGAGCCGTTGTGCTAAGCCTTAGTAGTGTGTTTTATTTTCTTGCCTTTTTATTTTTGATAAGTCTGTTATAGATTTTGCGCTGTGATGACCACAGCCATGCTTTGGTTATAGCAAGATAATTTGAAATGAACAGACAATCAGAGAGTAGGGAAAAATATTTACAAGTTGTATGTTCTAGCAGAGTTAATAATAATATACAAGGACTTCAAACAATTCAGTAGCAAAAAACAAAGAAAAATAAACCAATTATCTAATTAGAATATGGGGAGATTTAAAAAGGCATTTTCCAAAAGAAGATCCACAAATGAAGTACATGAAAAGAACGTCTAACGTCACTATACTAGGGGAAATAAAAATCAAAACCACAGTAAAGTATCGTTTCACTTCCATTCAATTGGTTATTATAAAAATATAAAAGGTTATAAGGCTGGGTAGGATGTGAGAAAAAAGACAATCATGTACACTGTTGGTGGAGATGTAAATTAGCACAACCACAGAGAAAAATAGTGTGGTGCTTCTTTGACAAAGCTGAAACTAGAACTACCGTATGAGCCAGCAGAGCTATTACTGGGTGTAAGCCCAAGGGAAACAGTTCAGTCTGTCAGAAAGACATTTGCACTACAATGTTTATTACAGTACCGTTCCTAATAAACAAGAAATGGAAATAAGCACTGTGTCCATCCTCTGATGAATGTATAAAGAATATATAAAGAAAATGGATATATATAATATATATTACAATATATAGAATATATAATTAATATATAATATATAATAATATAATATATAATATATAATATAAATCAGCCATGAAAAAGGTAAAATCTTGTCAGTTCCAACTTTATGGGTGAAACAGGAGATCATTGTGTTAAGTGAAATAAGACAGGCATAAAAAGACAAAAGAACCCATGACCACTGTGAACTCCTCAGAGTTCAGAACACACCGAGAGACTGAGAAAGTAGGGAGAGGATGGGACGGAGAAAAGTTGAAGGGCACTAGGTCAGAGTAAGAAATGTTGGTGTTCTATCTCAAAGTAGAATTATATAGATGTTGATACTATATATTTCTAAAAATAAAAAAGTAAATATTTATTTATTTATTTATTTTACCAAAAGGAAGTGCTAAATGTTTGACTAAATGTGTTTGCCCCGATTGGACATTATGCAGTATAAAAATGTATACAAGCATCATGTGGTACTCCATATAATATACAACTTTTATCTGCCAGTTTGTGGGTATGTAGTATGCACTCAAACATACGCCAGAGACTCCGAGGATTGGACCATTCTAGTGAAATATTTCATAGGACAATAGTAAAACATGACTTTCACTGTCCAACATATTCTTGTTTACAGACAATGTAAATATCTTTCTAAAAACACGTTCCTACAAAATAAATGTAATATCCAATTATAAAAGGTGGCATTTTCTTTTAGGTTAGTCTGGAGAAATGCTAAACCGAAACTCTCCAAACCAAGGGATCTCTGAAATGAAGGGGTTCACTGAAACGCATGGATGTTAACCAGAAAGGGAACAGGTCCTGCAATAAGTTCCCACAACTACCCACAGCAAGATTTGCCATAGTGGCAAAAATGCCCACTGCAGTTAGAGCTAAGAAAGTCTCTAGGCCAAAAATTTGGGACAGGAAAATATGAGTTGTTTGCAATGAACCTGCATTGGCTGCAGGTGTCAGGGTAGGACTGGAGAGAACAAGGCACGTTTGGGGTGGAAGGATCCATCGTCCACAAGAAGAATTTGCTGCTCAGGGATTGGTTGGGAACTAAGCAGCATGCAGTGGCTCCTTGGGGTTCCTGACGGGGTGTGGGTTACTGTTGTAACCTACATTTAGGAATACCAGAAAGCTTTTTGTCACTTTCAGCTGAAGTTGGTAACTGATTTTTTTTTTTTTAAAGATCTAGTCAGTTATTTGAAAGATAGAATAATGAAGAGAGAGGGAGAGATACTGAGACAGAGTTTCTATCCTCGGGTTCACTCCACAAATGGCCGCAACAGCTGGGTGCTGGGCCAGGACAAAGCCAGGAGCCTGGAACTCTATTCGGGTCTCTCCCTGGAATCTTCCAGGATAATCACCTGCTGCTTTCTCAGGTATATTAGCAGGGAACTGAGTCGGAAGTGGAGCAGCCGGACTTAAATCAGCGCTTTGTGCTGTGCCTCCACTTTAGCCCTTGCCAAAAGATTGACTTTCTTCATCTTTCCTCTCTTCCACACTCCTGGCTGTAATTAAATTTAGAACATCACAGAAGTTTTCTCTTATTAAGGATGACAAAAAGTCTCCTAGTAAATTATTGATGTGATATTTTGTTTCTACTACAAAAGAAAAACAATTTATGTATACTCCACAACTACTCATAAAGTATTAAGCACAGCCTCTTGAAGTAGCCCCAAGCATGTTGCATTGTAAGGCACATGCCTGGCTTATTCATTCTAACCATGGATTATTCATGATTACATAGCAGACAGAGGTCCTTACCCCTGACTTAGTGATATTTGTGCTTTCAAGAAAGTGCTTCATGATTCTCACATCAAATTCTGCAAAAAGTGGTGATTCTAAAATTCAAGATCTTTATGAAATTTTGACAGCACCGAATATGCCTGAAAAGTACCTAGAAAATAATTGTAGACATGTGCTTGTTAGGAACTCAAAAACAAAGAGACCGTAGTATATCCATTTGGATAAATTCTGCAGCCAACCTGGAAAGCATGCATTGAATGCAGAAGACGTCTAATGCAATGGCATTATCATGGGAAATGACCTGCATATAAGCTGACTGCACATAGGAGGCAGAAAAAACAAGTGCTAGAGAACAGAGAAGAGACCAGTCCTTCTCACTGTCAGTGACACATCTGAACAAACTTCTTTTACCCCATGTACTTGATCACTGGGTCCCACATTTGTTTGCGCTCACATGGTTTGACACAGTAATGGATGGGGAAATGGGAAATCTTGGGTTAATTTCCCATTTGAACGTACAACCCCCATTCCTCCATAAACTGCATGAGATAGGTTTTACTTTCTTCCAGTGGCTTGTCGTCGGGAGCCTGCTTCTCCATGAGTCTGGATAACAGGCTCTCCTCCATGGGCTGGGCACACTCAGCATGCTCCCAGCTCTCGGGCTCCTGGTCAAAGCTGGGTAAGGAGGGTATATATAGGCGGCCAGTGTGAGGGTCCCAGTCAACCAGCGTTATCGATGGTTCTTCCTCTGGCCCCTCCTCCGAGTCTCTGCGTGCCTGTGCCAGGTACTGTAAGTCTCTAAGCTGAGGGGTATATGAATGCAGGAATGTTTGTGGGTCTGAGTTGGCCTGTGGCTCCAATGATGTTTCTGGTATGGATGCCTCCTTCTGTGTGCTGCCCTCCTGATCTCCAGGTTCCCACTCAGTGTCATTTTGCACGTCCTCTTCACACATGGTGACAGTTTGATCTGTAGGTGTGGTTCCACTGAGTGACTCTTGCTGGATGAAGACAGGATCTCTGGGACTGTCTCCCGAGTCGCAGACAAGTTCCACCACGTGTGATGCATAACCTAAGTGCTTCACTTCTGCTTCTTCCTCTAGGGGTTGCAACAGCTTCCCAGACCCCAGATCCAGAACGTCAGAGCCATCCCTGCCCTCTTCCACAAAACTCACATCCTTCTGGGGAGCTTTGGAGTCATCCAGAATATTGAAGGTGATGAAGTTAATCATGATTTTTTCAGCAGGCACAAAGAATCTTTTGTCAAATTGATTTCTGTAAATTAAAATCTAGAAAGAGAAGAGAATGGTTTTCACATTTTTTAAACTTTAGACAGATATTAAGAACAGCTGTTCAGTAGAATGGCTAGTGTCACCAGACCACTTTACAGACTTACTTTTTAAAAAAATTTTACTTCTTTTTATTATTATTATTATTATTATCATTTTATGATACAGTTCTTTAGGCCCTTGGATTTCCCTTATCCCCTCCCCAAATCCCTTCACCGTCACCGGGTTCCTCTATATTAATTGCTATGGCATAGTTCTTCATAAACAGTCTTTTGTCCATGATTGTGGCCATGGACAATGGCAGAGTCCAGCATCCTATCGTCAAACAGACTTACTGTTCTCAACTCATGAAAATGAAAATTATGCATGGAATAAACAGAAACATAGACTCAGAGACAGGAGACACAAAACACCCCATGTCACAGGCTCTGTGTGTGGCTTCTCCTTCCTCTAACTGGCTGAGGAATTACAGGTGTGTCTCTCGATTTCTTGAAGTGTTTTAATTCTGTGAAATTGAAATCTGTCATAGGAAGGATAGCGAAGGGTAAGACAGAGTTAGCAAAATTGCCTTCTTAATTATGCAGCATATTCAATGTTCTTGTTGATAAGTTGTGATTTTGCAGCCTACCAGACTTTCTTGTGGGCCATAAAAGGGTATTTGGAACAGTTGTGTAAAGTACAATTAAGTTGATTTTGGTGCAAAAAAGCTTGACATCCATGTGTAATTTTTTTCATCATGTGTACTTTCCCTGAACTTTCTAAAGGCCACTTATGCACATTGATCTCAGTATTTTTGCACCAATATCAATTTATCTTTGGTTCCATTTTCCATCAACTTTTGAAGTTCCCTGTCCTGTGGACATGAAATGTAAGAGTGGGAATGAAAACTGGGTGCAGAGGAGTAGCAACATGAGCGGTGGTTCTTCTTACTTCCCTTGGGCTGCATCTTAATTACACTTAATAAAGCTGGAAGGGGCAACTCACCTGGCAACTTACAACATATACAGAAATTCTAAAGCATGACAGAGATATTATTTGGGATTAAAATATTCCTTAGGGAGAGAGGGCAGGCAGGCATTTGGAGCCCGGGACACTTCCATTGCATATCAGAGTGCCTGATTCTGGCCCCGGTGCCTCCACTTCCCACCCAGCTTTCTGCTACTGTGTTTTCTGTGAAACAGCAGGTGATAACCGAAGGCTGGGTCCATGTCACTCACCTGGGAGACTTGGATTAGGATCTGGGCTTCTGGCTTTGGACTTGCTCAGCTTTGATTATTGCAGGCATTTGGGGAGTGAAACAGCAAGTGGAAAATCTTTTTCTCTGCCTTAGTAATAGGAAAATGACTATATAAAAATACTACATGAATTTGAAAAATAATAATACATAAAGTATTGCTGAAGGTACATGGACTTTAAAAAAAGCATTTGTTTTGTTTGAAAGGCAGAGTTACAGATAGAGAGAGGGAGAGACACAGAGAAATCTTCCACCCACTGGTTCACCCCCTGGATGACCACATGGCTGCGCCAGGCTGAAACCAGGAGACAGGAGATTTTTGATTTCCCATGAGCCATCCTCTGCTGCTTTTTCAGATGCATTGTAGAATGGGAAATAGGGTAGCTGCGACATGAACTAGTACTCATATGGGATTTTAACATATCAGGCCACAGTTTTACCTGCTACTCCACATTGCCAGTCCTAAGAACTTTTTTTTTTTTAACTGTAGAGACTTATTTTGTAGTTTTCATTGTTATTCTAAGATGGAAATTCACTTAACATTATAAAATAGATTTTTTTTTAAATCAGAAAGGCAGATATACAGAGAGAAGGAGATACAGAAAGAAAGATCTTCTGTCTGCTGATTCACTCCTCAAGTGTCTGCAAAGGCTGGAACTGAGCAGATCTGAACCCAGGAGCTAGGAGCTTCTTCAGTATCTCCTGAATGGGTGCAGGATTCTAAGGCTTTGGACCATTGTCTACTGCTTTCCTAGGCTATACGCAGGGAGCTGGATGGGAAATGGAGCAGTTGGGATATGAACCAGTACCCACATGGGATCCTGGCAGATGTAAGGTAAGGGTTTAGCCATTAGACTATACTCCAGACCTACAGAATCTTTTTGAAGAAAATCTATGTAGATATTTGAAAGGCATAATTGGGAGGATGGGTAAAAAGAAAGAGAGAAAGAAAGAGAAATCTTCTATCCACTGTTTGGACTATGCTGAAGCCAGGAGCCAGGGGTTTCCTATGTGGGTTGCAGGGACTCAAGTACAGCATTGTGTGCTGCTTTCTCAGGTGTATTAGCAGGAAGTTTAGTTGAAGTGCAGCCACTGGGACTTGAACCACTCATAGGAGATACTGTGTTGCAGAGGATGGCTTAGCCCACTGAGCCACGCTACTTGCCACCACGTAGGATGTAAACTCATTTAAGACAAAAATTTCATTTAAAAAATCACATAATCAATTCTGTGAATTTTCCTCCCAGGGAAAGGTCTCCCTGTGTCATTAAAAAGCTTACTTTGGGTATTGGTATTGTTAAGCTGCCTGTATAAAGCTTAACTCTGAAAAATGGAAGAATAGAAAAATTTAAACACTGGAGGCCTTTAGCAGATGGTCTAATAACACGGTGTTTCCTCTTTCATCTACTTCCTTCCTGTTCTTGCCCTAAAGGTTCAGGTCCACTCCTACTCCTACCAAGTGCTCTGACATTCCCTGTTTGTCTCAGGCCAACATCCTGCTTTTCCATCTTTCTGCTCATACTCATAGCCCCTAGCTGCTTATCTGGTTTTTAGTCTTCCTTCCCCTAAAGCTCTTCTGGAACCACTATCCAGTTGAGTCAAAACCATAATATTGACAATGACATTCCTAATTGACCACCCCCCTGAAGGATTTCTCTTGGCCATCAGCATAAACCCAAGCCATTTACCATAGCACCCCAATCCTCAAACTACCTGGCCCTTTATGCATTTTCCATTCTCTTCTATCCTTTCCTTTTCTCAGGAAACTTCTAGTTTAGTGATATGATATTATTTCCCACACATGCACCCTTTATTGCTATAGTTTCTTCTGCCTGCAGCAATGCCCTGACTCACTCACCCTTTGCAGTTGAATTCTGGCATGGAAATACAACCCCAGCAAAAGGCTTCAGTGCCTCCCTATATCTCCAGCATCCCAGAACCTGCTGTCATCTCACTCTTAACCTCAAGAAGAGCAGAACTCATGTCTTAACCAAACTGTAACCAACAGGAAGTGGTCCCAGATCCAGTTGAGAAGGATAAAATGCTTTCAGTGCTAAAGAATCTTAATGTTTGGTCATGTTTGGAAACTAACACATCACTGGAACAAATTCAAATTTATCAGCTATTTAGATTTAAATGGAACTATGTCTCTTATAGACTTTTTTCTACCCTGACACTTACCAAATTTGCAGGGTGTTTTTCTTTGCCAACATGGATATATCGGTAAATGGAATATCCCATTACAGAAACGAGGAACACGACCACGCATATGGGCAAAACGTACCAGAAGATGATTTTAACCTTTAGTGCTGATGTTTGATCTGTAGAAAAAGGGAGGAAAGGGATACAGAGTTGGGTTTGTGTGGCGTGGGAAGTCCCTGGCAATGCATGCCACGAGGCTTTGTGTAGATTATTACATTCAGGAACCCAGTTCTCTCCTGCGTGGTGAGAAGTCTTAGCTCAAGGTGATACAGGGTCTCAGAATTCTCACTGACAACTGCTGGTCTTAAGACATTATCTGGACTCCCCTCCAGTCTTTACAATAAGGACATATTAGTAATTCATCTCAGAAGGTACTGAACATTGTATGTCTTCTTGAACATTTCATGCTTTTCATTTGAAGGCAAGTGCATCTGATATTTGCAAAACTCAGCATTCCAAGCACTCTCTGTGAAGATTCTTTTAAGCTACCCCACTTTTAAATATTATGCATTTGACTCTATCTTTTCCATTCATTCAACAGAGGACACAAATTGATGGCATTATCTCGTATGTGAGTCACAGAACTGTTCTGGTATTGGTTACCCAGATCTTCTCCTGAGGGTATGTACGGGAGGTGGATAAGCAGGTGTACACTGGAAATGGTAGCAGTGTCCTTCCACGTCCTAGTGTGCTTAGGCTCAGGTTGAGTGAAAGGCCACAGAGGAATGACAAGGTCTGGTGAAGAGTTTTAACAAACAAGCAACCCTGGCCTATTATTGGCCAGAATATAAACTTGATGTCTTGAGACTTACCATGACTAAATTATTCCAGGAAACTTTGAAGAAAAAGTTCATGGGTAGGGAATTAAAAGATGTTTATTTTTGTGCAAAAAAAATTTGAAATTAATACACATACAGAGTCTTCAAAAAGTTTGTTAAAGAGGACTGGGATCGTTGTGCAGTGAGTTAAGTCTGCCTACTACACCAGCATTCCATATGAGTGCTGGTGTTAGCACCTGGCTGCTCCACTTTGCACCCAGCTCCAAGCTCATGTGCCTTGGAAACAGCAACAGATGGCCGATTTCCTAGAGCTGTTGCACCCATGTTGGAGACCCAGAAGCAACTTGTGGTTGCTGACTGCAGCCCAGCTCAGCCCCCGCTCTTGCAGCCATTAGGGGAATGAAACAACAGATGAAGATCTCTGTCTGTCTATTTCTCTCTCTCTCTTCCTGTCCCTCTCTGTAACTCCACCTTTCAAGTAAAAACATTAAAGAAAAGGTTCATATGATTCATGAGAAAATGTATATTAACAAAAACACTGCATGGGTTTCAAACATTTTTGCAACAAAATGAACTTGTCTTTTAGTAATTTTCCACAAAATATTTAAAATGTCTTTATATATGGGAAACTCCTATAAAGGTTGAGATGGTTGATTTCATGTGTCAACATGGCTAGGCTACAATACTCAAAAATCTGGCCAAATATTATTCTAGGTCATTGTATTTATTAGATGAGAGTAACATTCTTTTTTAAAAAAAAAAAATCAGATATACAGAGAAGAGGAGAGACAGAGAGGAAGATCTTCTATCCGAAGAGTCACTCCCCAAGTGAGCGCAATGGCCGATGCTATGCCGATCCGAAGCCAGGATCCAGAAACTTCTTTTGGGTCTCCCACACGGGTGCAGGGTCCCAAGGCTTTGGGCCGTCCTCGACTGCTTTCCCAGGCCCCAAGTAGGGAGCTGGATGGGAAGTGGAGCTGCCGGGACTAGAACCGGCACCCAAATGGGATCCCAGCTCATTCAAGGCGAGGACTTTAGCCGCTAGGCCATGCCACTGGGCTCGAGAGTAACATTCTTAATTAGTAGGTTTTGAGTAAAACAGATCATCTTGTACAAGGTACAAGGTAGATGGGCCTTACCAATGAAAGGTAGACTTTGATTTAGAAACACCAATGAGAAGTGACATTGAGGTGCAGCAAGTTAAGACATCATTTGGGGTCCTCACATCCTATATCTGAGTGCCTGGTTCAAATCCTGGCTATTCCACTTCCAATCGAGCTTCCTGCTAATGTGCCTTGGAGTCAGCATACTCAAGTCCCTTCTATCCATGTAGGAGACTGGGATAGAGTTTGTGGCTCCTGGCTTCAACCTGGCCCGGCTCTGGTTGTTGCAGGTGTAGGGGAAGTAAACCAGTAAGTGAAAGATTTCTCTCTCTCTCTCTCTCTCTGTCTCTGTCTCTCTCTTTCCCTCTCTCCCCCACCTTTGTCTGTCAGTCTGCCTTTCATACACACACACACACATACGACCCCAAAAAAGAGAAAATTCTGCCATCAGACTGCTTTTGACCATGAATTGCTATATCAGTTTTCCTTAGGCCACTGCTGCCTAAAGAACAATCTTTGACATTCCAGCATTCAGTTTTGTGAGCTGACTCCTATCTTTTCTTTGTCCTGTTGTTTATCTTTCTCTGGTGAATCCTGTCTTACACAACAGTGGAGAAAGGAGCAGCTTTAGCACAATCGATCTATATCCTAGTGTATCTCTTTCATGATAAGGAAACCACTAAGCTTGCTATGCAAGCCTTCTTATTTACACAGATGTTGTCCTTGATGCCTGGAACTGAGAGAAAGCAATAATCACTATCTGGTTAATGATTTGGATGAAGACCCAAAACAGGCCATGGCCTAGGGGTTAATATAAAGCTTGAGAGACCTACATCATACCTCCTAGTACCTGGGTTCAATATCTTGCTCCGATTCCTGACTCCATCTTCTTGCTAATGCAAATCCCGGGGAGGTGATGGCTCAAGTAATCAAGCTACTGCACCCATGTGGAAGACGTGGATTGAGTTCCTGGCTCCTGGCTTGGCCCTGGCCCAGCCCTGGCTTTTGTGGGCACTGGGAGAATGAATCATTGAATGGGAGTGCTTGCATGCATGCTCTTTTTTTCTCTCTCTCACTGTCACTCTGCCTCTCCAATAAGTACTACTACTACTACTACTACTAAATATGGGAGAGGCTGGTATAGTTGCTCAGTGGGAAAAGCTACTGATTGTGATGTCAGTATGTCATGCTGGAATGCTTGTTCAAGTCCCAGCTACCCCACATCCAACTCAGCTCTTTGCTTATGTGTATGGGAAAGTGTCAGAAGATGGTCCAAGTTCTCAGCCCCTAAAACTGTGGGAATTGTAGTGAAGTTCTAGGTTTCTGGCATTGGCCTGGCTCAAGCCTGAACTTTGCATCCATTTGGATGTGAATTAGCACATAGAGAGCTCTCTCTTCTATCTGCTTTTGGTCTGTCACACTGTCTTTTAAGTAAATAAATAAATATAAATAAGTAAAACCAGAAAACAGGTGTGTTACAGATGGTGGGGGTGATCAACAATAGATTGCAGCAAAAATCCCACCAGAGTCCAACTGAAGGCTTTTCTAACCTGCACATGCAGGCACCACACAGCAAAGTACCAAGGCTATGAGGTACACATGGCAGGTGTCTGGACACCAGCTTCCATCCTCCTGATACGGTCCTTGTCCTTGGGCTGACCCTGTCCTAATGCAAAGAAGTCATGACCATACGTGCACCCCAGCACACACTCAGTCCAATAAACAGAACTGCAGTTGCATGTTAGAGACTGGAGAGCAGAGGTTGTTTCCAAAGGAGAAGCTGAGGAGGTCCTGTTTTCATTTCAGGAAGCTGGCCCTATAGTAGTATCCGCAAAGGGATCTCTGGCTCTCCAACAGCTGGGAGGTCATGGGAAAGTTTGAAATCAGAAAAAATACTCCAGAGTTTTGATCTTCCTCCTATGCTAGGGAGACAGTGGGCTCCATCTGCTTACTAGGAAGCATTTAATTTAATCTGTGCTCTAGTTGTCTGAAACCTGCCAATTGAATGAGTGCCTCTCTCCCAGTCAATCCACTCCTGCCATGTGGTGCTGAAAAGCCATTGGTAAACAGAGCACTTTCCCCAAACACGGAAGCAATTTCTTCCATCTGCCTTGTTGGGCTGTTTTGATTGAGTGGGCGATTTAATTTTCTTAAACACATGGTTGAGAACTCTCCATCTTAAAGAAATGGCATGAGAAGGACAGAGATTTCAGAGAAAGCTTTCCTCTTTTCCCATTTTATTCTACAATTGGTTTCCCCCTGTGGGATAGTTGTATCCTGCAGGTGGTGGGGAAGAAAGCCGGGTTCCTCTTCATGGCTGGTGGCAGGCAAGGCTGTGAATAGTTGTCTGCCCAGCATGTTTGGGAGAGGAGCTGAGAAGCCATGGGGGAAGAGCATTGTAAAACATTTTCTTTGCAGGTTCAGATTTTACATTCAAGCTTCTCTCACCCTGAGGGATGAAAGAAGAAGCAGAGGCCACACTCACAGCCCAGTGCCATTTCCCAACAGGTGGAAATGTCACCTGCAGTTCCCAGAGATGCTAGGTAAAAGTAAGGAAATAACTCCTGATTGGCTGTTCTAAGACCCTCATGAGGCCATAAGGGGTATCCAAAGGCAACTTGAACTGTCCGTAATCTGAATTCCCAATGGAGAACCAAAGTTTTTTTCTGTATTCAAGTGTCTGATTTATGTTTTCTATAAGAGTTTTTAAATTTGAAAGGTAGTTTTGGGGAGCAGGGGATCAGGGAGAGAAAGAGACACCTCCCTCCTGCTGGTTCATCTCTTTGAAGGCAGAGAAAGTCTGGGCTGGGCCAGGCAGAAGCCAGGAGCCTGGGATTCTACCAGGGTCCCCCATGGGCGTGCAGGATTACAAGCATTTGGGCATCTGCTGCTGCTTTCCTAGGCACATCGGCATGGAGCAGGATTGGAAGTGAAAGTGCTTGGATTTCCAACCAGTGCGTGGATATGGTTGATTGCAGCTTAACCTGCCATGCAACAAACAGTGCCAGCTTTCAGGTGCTGCTCTGCTTCTTAGCAATAAAATTGTCTGATGTTTATGAAAGCCAGAGAACTTTTCGATCGATCAGTGTGTCTTTGACTTTGAGGTACAAAAAACCAAACCAAAACAAAAAGACATGTGGAAGATGTCTTAATTGTTATTGCACAAGACAGGAAGCTGTGAGGCTGTGGGAGGATTTTTGGCAGGAGAGCTGAGGGCTCCTTGAGGGGCAAAAACACTCCCTGCTGTTGGCCAAGTTCAAAAGCAAAGTCCAGGCTGATTGACGCAGTACTGGTGACAGATATCTTTTTATGCCTTGTCACAACTTGCCTGTCTGCATCCCAGCAGGTTCAATGTATTTCTAAGGATAGGTATTTCTGCCTTTGTCCCAACCTGTTTGAGGTACATTTGTCAAAACCTTGTCAAAATTGTCTTCCTTCTAGTTTTATCTGATTTATAGGCCAGTAGAGGTTTTTTTTTTCTTTAATTTTGTGGCTTACCTTCCAAAGTACTGATACACTGCTCCTCCGAAGGTTGAGTGGGGCGAAGTGGCCCTGACACAAAGGACTCCACGTGCACACAGTACAGAGTGGCCGGCTCCAGCCAGGTGAGCTCCACTGTGTGGTTGGTCACGTACTGGAACCACTAGAGCAGGGGAAGGCAAACAGTGGCATCAGAGACAGACTTCTGGAACCAACCCCGACAACTAACTGCAGAAGGAAATACAAGATGGAGACCTTATTGCCTCCTTTGCTGCCACTCCAAGTTTTTTAGTTTAGCAACATTTTCAAATGACCCCTTTCCTTCAGCTCAGTGCAGTGTATTTAGGAATTGCACCGATTGTGGGAACGGTTACTCCATTGAGTAACATTGGATGTATTTCTCATTCAGCTTGATCCTATGTTTTGGCTAGCTTTTATTTTTCCTTCTTGGAGAGGCAAAGTGAAGTGCAACACTCCAACATCACAGGCTGCTCGTGTTGTTTCTCTACAGGAAAGCTGAAGTCATTTCTGTAAACTTTCTGTGTGTTGGCTTTAACTGTATGTTACAGGACATCACTTTTGAGTATCATATCTTCCCAAATTCACATGGGGAACTACAAGCAGCGGGCCACTGGGTCCAGCTGTACTGTAAAAAGTGGCATCCACAGAGACCACTCAATGTTCTGTCTCAGGCTTACCATTCTTTTGGATTTGGTATTGTACACGGACACATTATACTTCAGGTTGGAGTATATTTGTTGCATGGACACAGGGCTGTCCTCTGGATTTTTCTTCCACTTCTCTGGAGCCGTCAGGATAATAGAAATAGACTTTTCCTCAGGGATCAGAGTCACGCCTGGGGGGCCGATTTGTGCTAAAAGGGGAGGGGAGAAGGGTTAGCACTTTCAGATATAAACATCACTGGGGAGAAAGCTGCAGTATATTCAAAGACTTTTCCATTCAAAGAGTTAAGATCCAGCTTCTTGCAGAAACCTTAGAATGTATCAAGGTAGATCCAAGTTACACCTGAGCCTAAAGCAATCATCAGACACATGTTGGCACTAGGTGAAAACCTCACATTGAAGGGTTGTACGTATTGAGTTCCTAGCCACATCAGTCAGCAACACTAGAGGAAGATGAATATAACCAAAAGTGGAATATGTCTGTGACATGAAAAGTCCATGTTAAACAACATTGACATGATTCAAAAAAAATGGAAAAATCAGAGATGTGATTAGAATGCTTTAGAACAGAGGTCAATAAACATTAGTCATGAAGATCTGGTCTGTAAAAAGTTTAGGCTTTGTGGCGGTATGATCTGTTGGAACCATTGTCTTCTGGAAGCAGTGAGAAGGCAGCCCCGGAAGATTTCTGCAGAAATGAGCATGGCCTAGGTTCCAGTAACTCCGTATTTGTGAAGAGGACCTAGAATCTGATTTTCATGTAATTTTCACATCACAAAATATTTTTTTTCCTAAATTGTTAAAAATGATAAATACCACTCTGAGCTGTGGGCCTGTAGACAAACAGAAAGCCTAGGTTTGGCCTGAGGGCTGTCGTTGGCTGACTCCAGATCTGGCTGAGCCCTGGGAGCAGGCGCCAGCTGCAGGGCCTCCCTGTCATTTGCAGAGATCATTACAGTGGGTTCCTCATGGCTGAGTTATATCAGGGGAACAACAAGATTGCAAAGCAAACACTAGGAAGCTATGGCTTTCATTTTATGTTGCACCTGGAAATTATATTATTATATTCCCAAATTTCTGACCTAAGAACCTCAGGCACCTTCTGGATGCACCCCAATACATTCCACATCTTGTATACACATACCCACCCTATTATGATGATTTGTTGATTTTTCCTTAAACTACACAGTCGCCATTAAACAGAAGCAAATTGAATTTTGACACTATTAGTATCTAGTATCAGTTTTGCATCTGGGAGAAACTTTAGAGTTCACTTGGTTAAACCTTTTTCTCTAAATCTGAAGCCCTGAGACTCCTTCCTGGGGGAGCTCCCTGGCTTGCGCGCTCAACTTGCTGGCACAGAATAAGGCCAGCTGAATCCCTTCCCTGGGCCAAGGTTGTCTCGGGTTGTGACTACATGTGACACCAGGCAGTCAGATCAACTGGATATCAAAACATCTATTGAATTGACAACCGTGACAACCGTGTTACTTACTTTCTAAAAATGGATAAAATCGTCCAGTTTCAGCCCACTTGGAGCAATTTGTTTCCCAAATGGCCTTAACTTTGGCATAATATTGATGTTCATAGTCAGAAGTTTCTGCTGAAAGATCACAGTAGGTCCTACTGATATTTCTGCATTCAGATTTATTCAGCCATCTCTTTTGTCCATATCTGTGAAGAAGAAAACTTTGAATTAATAATGTGGTGTCCGCTATGCTTTCTAATTAGAAAAAAAGCAAGTCATTTTTAGAAAATGGAATAGAAGACCTTCTCTTCAGAAAAACAAAAGTGCCTGTCACTGAGATAAAAAAGAATGCACTTTTGCTGCTGGCAATTTTTTTCATTAGCTGTCAGGAGCATGAGTCAGAGTTTCTGTAATCACCTTTCTTTTCTTTGAACTATAATGTGGATAGTACATTTTGAAAGTGTACTTTATTTTTATTCTTTGGCTATCATAATTTTCAACATATTGCATGATCCATTATTCTGGTAATTATTTAATGTAAGTTTTTAGTTTCCCATGTGATAGGTTGTTTTTTCTTGGAAGAAAAATTACTTTGATATTCTCACAAATTTGAAAAATCTGATAGGTTTCAGGAGTTTGTGGAAGATTCATAGTTTGAAGCACATTTAGAAGTCTTCTTTTTTATGACGATGGTGATGTTGACTAGGTTGCTCATAATGATTTTCCTTTCTCTATGGAAAATGCAACATTCAAAGCAAATGGGGAGGAGGAAATATTTTTAGCACCTGTGAGGTGGGAGAGATCGTGTTTAAGTTATCTGTGACACACCAGTGAAAGGGTCCAAGTTGCATGGAAAGTGTTAAAACAGAAACATTGGCAGACAAAGGCTTTAATAAGCTAGCTCTGTTACCATGGGGAATATAACAGGTTAGGTGTGGCATCCTGTAGAGCAGGTGAGAAAAAACTACTAGGTGCAGGTGGAAGATGCTACTGGCCGGACAGGAAGCTGCCAGCAGAATGCATGGCCATGGCAAAGTCATGAACTACTACGGGGAAGGATTTGATGACTAAACAGATAGAGGTAGTCAAAGTGTCTCTATCTGTGGCAGATCTGTGAAATAGTGATAACACTGATTTGTACCAAGATTAGGAATAGGAAATACAGCAAATTTGGGAAATGAGGGTGGGAAGGCTAGGGCGAGGGAATGATAGGGAGTTTTGACATGTGGTACTTGAAATATGTAAGGGTAATATCAATGCTGATGTCCCAGAGAGATGCATGAGTGCAGGTAAGAGATTTGGGCATCAGTTCAGTGAAGATATGGTCATGAACGAAGTTACCTGCAGAGACAAAGCAAAGTGTAGGATAGCATGTTAGGATTTAAAGGTTGTGTACAGATTAGACTTGGAGACAGCAGCTAAAGAAGGATGAAGCGAAATGGCATCATGATAGTAAAGGGAAGAGTGTGTCTTGAGAAAAAGGACATGCCAGTGCTCAAGGATGTGTTCAATCTTCGGAATGTGGTAACTGCCTCCCATTTCTCAAGTATTTTATTTGCTGAGACATCAGAAACATAGTCAGATCCTATTGATAGACTTAGCTGTCTAAGTGAGCACCATGGTTGAGGGGCTTTCAGACTCGTAAAAAAATTCAAGTTTATTACAGAGGGAGAGAGAGGGATTGAGGGAGAGAGAGGAAGAGATTCTCTCATCCTCTGGGTCATTCCCCTAATGTCTACAGGAGCCAGGGCTGGGCTAACTCAAAGCCAGAAGATAGGAATTCCAAATGGGTTTCCCATGTGGGTGGCAGGGACTCAAATATGCTAGTCATTACCTGCTGCCTCCCCTGGTGCATATCAGCAGGAAGCTTTAATTGAGAGCAATTCCAGGACTCGAATCTAAGTGCTTCAACATAGGATGTGGTTTCCCAAGCAGCATCTTAACCAGATACCTGTCCTTCAATGGTTGTTAAGTGTGGTACATTTTGCATTATGACCCAACTCATAAACTACATTATCTGACATTTTGTATGGTACAACCCATAAAACTACAGGATCTGACATTTAAAAACTGGTCTTATAACACCTAAACTTATTATATACCCTGCCTCTCCCTTTTCTATGCTACTCTAGTCCTTTCTATCTCTTTCCATTAAACACTAGTCATTTCCCTCAAAATAGTTTTTATCACCTAGCAACAGGTCTTGACTTGTGGTTTGAAATATATTGTCATTGCCTGTTTGGCCCTACTCCCCCAGCTTCCTTACTCTGCGGGGGAGCTTCCCATGATAGATGCTGATGAAGAAGAACATGCACTTTATTGGAGATAAGCAAAATGAATGACAGGACAGGTACTACGCAACCAACAGTCCAGCAATGATGTGTATGCAGGGCAGATATTCAGGTGGGGTCCTTGGTAGGAGGCGTGTCTCTCATTGCTTTTTATAAGAAGAAATATTTCTCAAGTGCTGTTAGGATTTTGTGCTTAGGATTTTGTACATGATTGTAGCTCCTTGAAGTTTCTTGACAACCCCAAATGGCAGATGCCGTGACTTTTATCCCATCTGAGAGATGAAGAAACCAATACCCAATATAACCAAGGGATCCACTCAGTTCCCAATGAGTAAAATTCAAACCTGTGATTTGAACTGCTTTTCTCTTGGGTGTGAATTCAATGCGAATTCAGATGCAAGCTTGGGGCATTCTGTCAGGGAGCCATGTGCCCTTTGTCCTGTTCCACAAACATGGGCATGCAAGATCTCTGACATGGCAAGCTTCTCTTTGAACATTCTATTTCATAAGTTGCACAATTCACATTGTCTCTTTGCAGAGCTGTGTTGACTCTGCCCTTTTCTAAAAATCCCTGGCTTAATCACACGAAAGCTCCTTGCTCCACCTAATGGAGGAGGAGATGAGGACAAGCTCAAGGGCTCTCACTTTGCAGAGTGATGTCTTCTTCCCATGACACCAGCTCTTGGGGAGCTCCTTGGAAACAAGTAGAAGACTCTAGGTCAATCAGGTCAGCGTGAAATGGTGCCTGATGGCTCTGACTGCCTTTGTGGCTGAAATTTTTCTTTTCAAAGACAAAACTCTTGATCTTTTTGTCAAGATGATACATGTTTTAAATTCAGAAAAAAAAAAAATAATCCAGAGAAATAAATCATGCTGAAAACCATTACCCTGAAATGACTGGTGGACATAATTCTCTGAACGTCTTGTCCTGTTTACACATAAACAAAGGGTGGTCAGCTTGCTTTATACACAAAATTAGATCATATCATACAGTTTTAGTAAAAGTAATAAATTTAGTCTGAACTCTAATTGTAAAGGAAGCTAAAGTTAAATGAAAGGAATTACTGAAATCCAAAACTTTTGTCACTACAAGGGACATAAGTTATTTTAAAAAACTTTTAAATTAAGAAAATGACTTATGAAAATTATTATTCTCCTCATACATGAAGTCTGGATCCATGGATTTAACCAACTACAGATTGGAAATACTTGGGAAAAAATGCATCTGTAGTATGCATGCACAAACTTGCTTTCTTGGCATTATTACCTAAATACAGCATGGCAATCATCTAAAAAGCATGTACTTTGCATTAGGTATTATAAGCAATCTAAGGATGATTTAATATGTTCAGGAGTTTGGGTGTAGGTTTTATGCAAACATTTCATCATTTATACAAGGAGGTAAGTATCCAGGGTGGTCTATAGGAATCCCCTTTGGATTCTGAGATGGGTTACCTTTTCATTTTCGATTCCTTTTATGACTTCCTTCTGTATAAATCAGTGCACTTCTAGCCTTTTCCATCTTTTGGTTTGTTATATGAAGCTCAAAGATTGACAAGAAAGTTCTCTCATCATGTTTCCCATCTCTATTTGGTTTCAGTTCCACATTCAGATAGAATCCATGCATGCTACCAGGCTTTCAGCCACAACCATGACATTAAGATAGTTTGGATTCCTCGTTTTCTCTCTGTTGGCTGGATATTATCTTGAGTTATTGCTTTCCCTGGGTCATTGTTTCCCTAAGAAGATATCAGGGGAGTGAAATCCGACTTTCCACCTGTTTGAAAAGATCTTTCTATTGAACTGGCTAAGAGGCTTAGATCATACCTTTCTTTCCTTTAGAACATGCATACTGTCAAATACTGCCTGGCTTGAGTTTTGCCTGTATAAAGACAGCTTAAATAATTTCATTTTCTTAAAGTTCAAGAACTTCACCAGGATATGTCTTGCTGCTGTTTTTTTTTAGGTTGTCTTTAGACATAGCTTGAATTTATGATACACGATTTCAAGTAACCCTCACTTCTTGTTCAACCATTACTATTAGTTAGCTAAAACAGGCTTTTCATCTTCTATATGTTTTGACTTTCCAACATTTTCCTGAGCTCTGCCTTCTTGCTTTAAGAATTCTCTTCTTGACTTATAACTTCTTTCACAATTTTCTTTTTGAGCATTACCCCTAGATATTTATAAACCCTGATACAATTATGAAAAATTACTTCTCTCAAGTCTTCACCTACTTTCTTGGGAAGAACTTTTCGTAACTTTGCCCTTGGGTTCTTTTTTTCTGTGTTCTGTATTTATGAATGGATTCTGTGCTCCCTTTTGGTCTATGACTCTGAATGGGGCCAACTGTTTGTTGGATATTAGGTGGATGGGTGCAGGAGTAGGGGGTCAGGTAATGAGATTTTGCTTTCTATAGCTAAACTTTTGTTTCTGTCCAATAGCTTCTCACTTCTCCCCACATATTCTAGATGGCAGGAGGCTTATGTGGCTCACGACATGTCCAACAGATTGTGATCTTCCTGGGCTGCCTCCCAGTCATCACCAGCTCCTTTCTCTCCTGCACCTCTCATTGCAGGCTTCTCTTTGGATTGTGACCTGTCCTCCACCTGCACATGCTCTTTGAATCTGATTTTCATTTCAGATTCTCCTTCTCTGACATGCTTTGGCATCAAACTGGGGCTCCCGGGGAGATATTTCATCAATTTCTGGTGTGGAAATCCTAATTTCCACATAGTGGTATTGTTAGGTAGACCTTTCATAACTGTGACATTTGTTCCTACGTTATTTTCTGTTGTTGGAACTTGAGAAGGTATGTGTTTGAATTCATTTTCTGCAGTTGTTTATCTTCAGATTCCACCATGTTTGGCTTTGATGCTTCTTGGCTCATAATCTGGAGTGTGTGGCCATTTCTTTTGTTGCCTGAAGATACATTGTCTGTTTTTGTATCCTTTCTCTTTTCAATAAGTTTTGGAGGTAAAGGTGAAGTCAAAAGGCTTATCCATTACAGTCTTTAATAGGAGCAAATATTTATGTTGAATTTGGCACTTGGTTTCCTGAAGGCAACAATAATGTCTCAACCAACTTCTTTCCTCAATTAACTAACTCCCTTTGCCTGAGCCAATGCTTCTCTCTCCATAAAGAAACTGTTTTCTAAGTTATATAAAAAAATACATCAAGACAACCTAACTTGAAATATCCCAAACCTTTCTCTTTTTAAACAACTGAATAACACAAACGGTTTATCATTGCATAGTGAACAGGATTCAGAATCTTAAGCTTATGAATTAGGCAAAGGGAAAAGGTTCAACTCACATGAAATACTGAACACTGTATGTAACATCAACTCCATGTAGACCCTCTGGTGGATTCCACTGTAGAACATTCTTCATGTTGACAGACACAAAGGTGATATTAGTAGGTTTAGGCAAATCATCAGAGATACAAGGAACTGAAAAGGAAGTCGAAAGGGATTAAGGTTTTGGTGGAAGGCCAGGAAAAGACAATGTGTAGGATAAGCACTAGATCCTGTCCAGAGATGCTCTTAATGAACCATGCCTTTTAGTCCTTATACCCTGTGAATCTCCTCTCAAACTGAACCTGTGCTCCCCTGTTACACAAAGGTGACAGAAGTGTCTATGGGAGTAACCTTTAAGGATGTCTGGGAGTTAAACTTTTGACTTTTTAAAACCCCTGGGAACCATGTAAAATAGTAGCCAATCTGCTGAGAGGTGACAGAGGGAAGGCCCAATTATCCATATAGCCCACCTGAGCCCATCCTTCCAAAGGGGCCGGAATGAAACCATGTCAGTCCCACCTGTTGTAGGACTGGCCATCAGAAGAACTATCCAACTAAGCCTCAGTCATCCCCCAAACTGTAGGAAATAATAAATGATTACTTTTGAACACTAAGCTTTGGAATCATTTGTGATGCACCAGCAGATAATTGAAGCCAAAATGCCAGAGTTTTGGAGATTGGGTTTGGAATCAGTTTTACAAAAGCATGTGATAAAGCAGTAATTAGAATAACAATGAAAAGCTTAACTCTAATTAAATATTGGTTTGTTTACCTAATTTCATCCTAAAGAATCCTTACATAGAAAATCCATGTAAATAAATAACAAAGAGTTGGAAAACAATCCCTAAATTAGAAAGGGACAAGAACAGAGGATACTTTTTTTTAGTAAAAGAAAACAAGGCTGATAATCAAAATAAATGAGAAAAAAAATCAGTGATGACATGTAGGACTCAAAATACTAATTTAGAATATCGGCAAGACAACTACGCACCAAGTAATAAACAACCATGCTTTACAAAGAGCTTATCCTATTGTAACAGTGCATTTCTAATTAATGGCCTTGGAAAATATCAATTTTTGATATTATAAATCAAATGCAGGAAAAAAGATTTAGCCCAGTATCCGAGGGCTGGTCGTCTTGGCTAAGTCTCACAATTATTATGTTTTTTAAAGGTTTAAATTATTTTTATTGCAAAGGCAGATATACATAGAGGAGGAGAGACAAAGATCTTCCGTCTGATGATTCACTCCACAAGTGACCACAATGGCAGGAGCTGCTCCAAGAAGCCAGGAGCCTGGAATCTTCTCCAGGTCTCCCACGTGGGTGCAGGGTCCCATGGCATTGTGCTGTCTTTGACTGCTTTTCCAGGTCACAAGCAGGGAGCTGGATGGGAAGTGGAGCTGCCAGGATTAGAACCAGTGCCCACATGGCATCCCTTTGGAGTGTGTGAGGCAAGGACTTTAGCTGCTAGGCCACCTCTCCAGGCCATAAGTCCCATAATTCTTGTGTAAATTCGTTGAGAGCAATGTCAGGGAAAAGTATTAGCTTTATGCTTGGATTAATCTTTGGTTGATACTAGCTCTAAGTGATGTATTATTTCCACAGTAGATGAAAAGGAAGAAAAATATTCTTTGCTTTAGAGTTAGCTTTGTAATATGGCCTGAATTCTGATCAAGGTAAGCTCTTCAACATTTAAGTAGTTGATTGTGTGTTTACAAGTATATGTGCATGTGCAAATTCTAATGATTCTTAAAACCTGATTATTTTTCAAAATGCGTTTTACTTTTAAGAAGAAAGTTAAATACTGAAAGAGAAGCTTGTCAAGTGCTCAGTGTGTGGTATATGTGGAGAAAATCTCAGAAGGATACAACTTGCCTGATGTCTATTTTTACTTTCAATTCTTCTAATTTAAATTCTTTGGAATAGTGTGACTATTTTTGGCATTTTTAGGGTACCAAATTCAGTAAATAACTGCCAATGATTTAAAATTGCTTAGGGGTATTACTGTATTCCAAATTTCATTTTTTTTTTTAATATGAAGGAGACATGGCGAAGTAGTAACGTTGGATTTAGTATCTTCGATCCTTTCACAAAGTAATGCCAAGGCTCTTTCCAGATCTGAAATGCTGTGGTTCTAGACTTTTATATGGCCTTGATATGTGAGGAGAAATTGTCATGCTAAAAGGCGTAAAGCTGTACTTTATCATATCACTGATGGAAGACATTGCCAAAACATGGCTTTGTAGAACCAGCTGGTAAGGATACAGAATGTTCTGGCTTGTGGAAACATGAATTTGGAATTGTAAATAAAACCCAAGTTATCATAGATATTGTAGTCCCAGAATATTTACTCAATGTTCAAGCTGCATATACCTAGCATCCTCTGAAACTTTGTTTTCTATTTGTCTGTTAATAAAAGCATTTGGCAGATCTCTCAAAATGTCTAAAACATACTCCAGAAAGTTTCAAGAAATAGCTTGTAATTAAACTTGTGAATTGATCATTTTGATTTAATGCTTTTTGCCCCACTGAAATGAACTGTACTCTGGAATATGCTTTCAATCATTAATGTCCATTAATTCAACAGATACTTTGATTAATGCTGTGTCAATGCTATGCCAATCTGATATACTGCCAAACTAATAATGTGTTAAACAACAGGAATTACTAACATGGTAAGACATTAAGCAAGTTAACCATCCCATATACCTTTTGAAAAGGAAATATATTTGACAATAAATGCTGTGAACTGTCTAGCCACCCCTTCTGCAACTCTACTCATGAGTTGAGTTAGTCCTATCTTTAGCCACAGTGGCAGCAGTCAGTTTCTAAGATGGCCTCCTTGGAGGAACCCTTCCGCCAAGGAATGATAGCTTATAAAGTTCTGTCCCACTTCATGACTGGGTTCACCTTTGTGACCAACAGGATCTGTCAGAAGTGTGGATGTAATACTTCCAAGGGTAGATTCTAAGAGACTTCTATCTTTTCTTTCTTTCTTTTTTTCCTTCTTGGGTCATTTTCTCTGGATGACTACCCAATGCCATGGAGAGGATCATACTAAGTAATAGGCTTGCACAGCAGGTGAGGAATGTATGAAACCTACCAAGAGGCACAATAGCAAGAATCGGTGGGGCCCGTCTGGCCCATTCTGAGCCTTCAGAACACTGCGACCCCACTCCTGTGAGAAACCATGAGACATAACCACTCAGCAAAGCCATCCCAGGATCCTGAGCTCAGAGACTCTGTGAGCTAGTATTTCTTGCTTTGGGCTGACATTTCTAAGGTAATCAAGTGTCACTTCAGCACAGAACAAAAACAACAAAGATCTTGAAAATTAAAGTAGCTATAAAAAGAAGTAAATTAAACTGGAGGAAGAAAAGACAAGGTCTCCTCCAATCCCGATAAGTGACTCTTACTTCAATGATATTGAAAAAAGATTCTTGTGAATGGTTCAGATTTTTATTTGAAAAAAATCTTAAAAAAGGTTTACTGCTTATTTATTTTAAAGTCAGAGAGAGAGAGAGAGAGAGACAGAGACAGAGAGAGAGATTTTCCGTCTGCTGGCTCACTTCTCAGATGGTTGCAATAGCCAGGGCTGGGCCAGGGCAAATCCCAGAGCTTCATCCTCCCACATGGACAGTGGGGACTCACTGGCCTCCCACATGGACAGTGGGGACTCACACTTAGACCATCTTTTGCTGCTTTTCAAAGGCCGTTAATAGGGAGCTGGATTAGAAGTGGTGCAGCCTGGACATGAACCAGTGCTGGGGTCACAGGCAGAGGCTCTACTATCTGTGCCACAACAGTAGACTCAGTGTTAACTCTTCATGAACAAATAAAAAACCCAATGAAAAGATCACAAACTTAGACTTTTAATAGCAAGTGAAAAGTACAGTGGCAATGTTTTGGGCACTTTTATTTTTGAAGATAAATGCTTGGAATGGGTGTTGTGGAGCAGCAAGTTGAGTCATTTTTTGCAATGCCTACATCCTAGTTCCTAAGCTTCTGATCCATTTTCCTGTTAATGATCCCGAGGAGGTGGTAGATTATTTTAAAAACATTCGGGCTCCATAGACTCCCATGGGGGCCTGGATGGGATCCTTGCCTAGCTTCTGCCTGTCTCAGCCTGGTTGTCATGCACATTTGAAGAGTGAACCTCCAAATGGAAGATCTCTCTCTTTCAAATAAAGGCATATTTACAGAGTGAAGGAGACATGGACAGATCTTCAGTCTGCTGGTTCACTCCCTAAGTAGCCACAATGGCTGGAGCTGAGGTGATCTGAAGCCAGGAGCTAGGAGATTCTTCTAGGTCTCCCATGTGGCTGAAGGGTACTAAGACCTTGGAGCATCCTCCACTGCATTTCCACAAGCAGGGAGCTGGAAGGGAAGTGGAGCAGCCAGGATATGAACTAGCGCTCATATGGGATCCCAGTGCCTACAAGTTGAGAACTTTAGCCACTTGGTTACCACACCAGGCCCAATAAATCTTTTTTTAAAAGAAAAGATAAATGCTTAATTGCTTCTTGGCCTTTTAGCTAAGATCAAGTGAACAGATAAAGGCTTAGTTAAGCTCATTGTAGATATACAAATATTTAAGAGCAATAAACACTTTGAATAGAAAATCATTTTAAAATTAATTTTATTGTTTGTAGACTCTTTTCAGAAAAAGAACATCACAGCTTTTCTGCAAATTCTCCAAATGGGCTCACATTATCTCTCTGATTGCATAGGCAGAAAAGACAACAGTTTTGGACTACCCCCTTGTCAATAAATCAAAGTATTATCCAGCAGCAGTCCTATCATGGGAAAAGTAGGTCTCATTGTGTTATCAGCCCATCTCTACATCTCCCCAGGACACAAAGTATTCCTTGTTAATGACGTGGTCTGCTTGTTTATGAACCATTTTTTATCAGAGCAAATTAAGCCATGTTAGTCATCCTTTTTGGTATCAGGCACATCTTGTCTCTAAGTTCATAAGATTATTACTTCCAGAAATGGGTGTTTACCAAATGCAATGGGTTGGCCATTATTTTAATCACCTGTATAATTTTTATTAGGGAATTTTCATGATTTCCTATTGTGAGGTCTGACTGAGATGGAGAAGGTCAAACCTCACAATTCTCCTACACAAACCCCATGCTCTT